TTTTGAAATACGAGTTTGAGAAAGTAAGGCATTTTACATTCACTCACGTGACTACACTGGGCCTACTATGAGCTTTTAGGCTTAACTCACACTGGCGCAGAGTCGAAGCGTCGCGTCACGTCCTGTTTTTCAAATACAACGCTTGGCGACGTGCGTCGTCACTCGACGAACGCTCGCTTTAGTGCGCCCGGATCACAGTGTGGTCGGCGTCTGACGTTGTAGTGCGCTCAAGTGCCGCTCAATCCAAGCGTCTCGACGCCCGTTTCCATATTTGCTTAACACACATTTGTACCTTAATAATGGGAAAATAGAGATGAATATACTATAGGCGCAAAACCTGACGTAAGTCGGATTACCTGTCAAATTCTTACTATGACCTCCATTGATTTACAATTATATGGACGTCGGGTTCGCGCTAAAAAGTGTCCGAACTTATAGGGCGTTAAAATCGTATACAGAGCGTCATTCACGCTTTAGTCTTCGTTTGTTCGACTGACAGCGAAGCAAGCAAAAGTAGACAGTACTGCGATGACATTACAATTTAAATTCAACGTTTTAGCTTTTTCATATTCCTTTACATGTCACTACGTTTAAATAGGTTGACTTGGGACATTTTTTTCGTGGTTTTTGTATTAGACCTGTCGTCCATTTATTTGTAAGTCAATGATGACCTCACAAAAACAATTCACTGTCCATGCAGTTCACGTTCCCCATTCGAAATCCGTTCACTTTTTCTTTCATAGTAAAATCCACACTCCGTAAAATCGTATGACGTGTCATTTGCTATGCACATGGCGGTCAAAATAATTAGTTCAAATAAAGTTACTCCGTGACTAACTTTTTTAAGATTTTGTTACATTTTGAATTCATAATTATTTTGGCTATATATAGCCAAAAAAGACAACAAATAATTATGAATTCAACTTATGAATGACTTATGAATGTCAATAAATAAATACTATTAACTATTGAGCGTTTTTTGAATGTTTTAGTTCGAATTTCCAACATTTAAAGTATTGTTGATAAATTATTGGCATGAATGACATTGTAATTTTTAAATGGAATTTTAATAATTTATTGACCGAAAATCGAAAAATAACATTTAAATAGTGCCAAATTGGACTTTAATGCAATCAATGAAAACGTGCAAATACAAGATACGTTCCAATTATGTTATCAAATTACAAACTCACCTTATTAATTTCAATGGTAATGACCAGACATGATCTGTAATTTTGTCGTAAGGTAAATTGTAAAGTATGATTAAAAAGTTGCCGATATTACAAAACAACGTAATAAGTATAATCAATAATAAATTGATAAAAAAGCATAATTATTCTCATTTTAAACACAATCGGTTAATAGTGCTTAAACGCTCCCGAGACAGTACATCTGTCTGTTTCTTTCATATGATTTAGTATGTAGTTCTATCTCGCTCTTGTTAGATGTCAGCCAGCCAGACAGCCAGAGACAATAATTAACGTTTAAACTTAGAATAATAACGCATAGAATGATAGTTTCATATCAAACGAACTGTCACAAGTGAGGCAAAAACCAAATTCATGTAGGCGTAAGCAACTTGTAACTACGCTCGTCGGCACGCACACAAATATACAAATAATGATGCCATGGAATAACATTTCCCACAAAAGTGGGGAAATTGTATCTTGCTTAACTCATCATTAAGTTAAAGGTGCCTACAGATTTGCCCGACATTGTCGATCAGGTGCCTACAGATGTGCTCGGTTTTGTCGATGAAAAACGAATATAGCACTTATTTGTAAATCCAAGATGGCGGACACGATTTTTCAAAATATGCTATATGGGTATCCTTTTCGAAGTATTTGGGGATGCTCATTACGAATATGGCACTCATTTCTAAATCCAA